ACATATACATATACACACATATATGACATATACATATATACATTCACACTCAATTATATATATTATATATATATATATATAATATATATATATACTATATATATACATCATATATATGTATATATATATTATACACACACACACACAACAACACACACACACACACACACACACACACACACTATATATATATATATATATAATATATATATATATATATATACATATACATACATACATGCATACATACATATACATACACATGCACATTTCGTCAAAACAGCTCCACCAACTATACAAAGAACCATTCATGAAATTATTGCAACCATTTATGGGGATCTGATAGACTATTAACGACCTCTTACATATGAAATATAGCATGCAGTATAATTCACAAAGCAAGGTTTATTTACTTGTCAATTGATTCATTTACCCATCAGTAAATTTACTTACCTATCAATATTCAATAATTTCTCGAAGGGTCGTGCAAATATTGACTCGCGGGGGAAAAAACAAACAATGAACTGATGAGAAAACCGTACATCTGACTAGACTGCCAGACCTCCATCAAGAATTTTCGGAAAACCCAAACCTGGAGTCATGGCTGGTATTCGGTCAAAGCGTTTGTTTGCTTCTGTTTGGCTTTTCCTTGTGGTAGATCAATTGTAGATTGTAAAGTGAGAGTGAGAGAAATAGAAATGGAGAAAAGAGGTAGAAATGGAAATAGAGTTAGACCGACAGAAAGAGAGGAAGGAGCCGATGAGGGTGAGTGAAAGTGAGAGTGACTGGGAGGGGAGAGAGAGAGAGAGAGAGAGAGAGAGAGAGAGAGAGAGAGAGAGAGAGAGAGAGAGAGAGAGAGAGAGAGAGAGAGAGAGAGAGAGAGAGAGAGTAAAGTGAAAGTGAGGACTGGGAGTAAAAGAGAGAGAAAGAGAGAGATAGAGACATGAGAGAGAGAGATAGAGTCATGAGAGAGAGAAATAAAGTAAAAGTGAGAGTAAGAGTAAAAGAGAAAGAGGGAGGGTGAGAGAAAACGTAAGAGCGAGATGGATGAAGTGTTGCAAGCACAGGGTCACCAACCGTACGATCATTTTTCCCGCTTAACTGCATACCTTTTTATGCCTAAACTGTTTCATTGTATGTTGACTGATAAATATCTAACCAATTTGAGTTTAAAGTTGATTCTGTGACATCAATTACGTAGATAGATAATGGCATACTAGGAACTCAGCTACAGATATTAAGTACGAAATACAATAAATTTGCGCTTATAAAATGATAAGTTAATCTAAGTTGAATCTGTGTTTAGAGACTCACTCGCCATGTCTTTTCTTCTGCTCTAATAATATAGTTGATTTATATGACGCGACGTCTATCTGTCTATTCTCTCTCTCTCTCTTACCCTATATTTTGTGTGTGTGTACATATATATGTATATACAGACATACATATACATATGCATGCGTATATATATATATATATATATATATATATATATATATATATTATATATACATATATGTATGTATGTATATACACAACACACGTACACACACACACACACACACACACACACACACACACACACAACACACACACACACACACACACACACCACAACACACACACACACACACACACATTATATATATATATATATATATATATATATATATATATATATATATATATATACACATAAATACACACATGTGCATGTATGCATGTGCATAAATATGATGATGGTAATAATATACGTGTATACCTCTGTATTACTATCCACATGATCCTCGTAATTTCTGCAAGCATTACTGCGTCATCAGGTCGATCATTATTAGAAACCCATTCCTCACCACCCTTAGCCTGACTTATTGTACCCGCTCACCTTCGCCACAGGGTTAACACGCAACGCCGTGGTCACTGCCACCACCCAAGCACCGCCGTAACAGCTGTAAAGTCCTTAACACATCCCTCAGCGAACGTGGACAAGTTGGGCTCAGTTCAGTTCAGAGAGATTTGCGGTTTAGCGTCGCCCGCTAAACTTGTATGTGGGTACTTAAATTAATTAATTAATGGGGTAATTATACATACATAATATATATATATATATTTATAGTGATATCCTACGTAATGTATAGTGCGTTAATTTGCTCCATGATATCTGTGAAGCAATACCAGATGCGACACTAAGCTCTGAACATATTTAGTTTTCGAGGCATCATATGATATTCAGACTGTAAGTTAACGTCAACATCTGTACTACAGAAATAAGCAGATTAATATATAATCAAATTGTAAGATAGTACATGCAATGATTGCAAACAGAGAGGATTTTCATCTACAACCCGAGTAAATTTTTCGTTTTGTTGATAGATAACTACGAACGTAATATAGATAAATCTGGTTAACAAAGAAGTAAAACGATCCACGCACAAGCAATTTTTGTCAAACGTTCGTCCATCACTGTAAGATTCGGAAAT